TCTTGTCACTGATGTACTGTACAATACTCTATCTACCATATTAGAAGGACTCCACCAGTTATTAGTTAATAGGTGTATTCACGTACAGCAATTGATTGGTCAGTAATTGCTACCACAATGCATGTACCATAATTACTATCTTAATTTTAGGGCCGTATTTTAGAGACCTAATTAAAGGAATGGGAAAATTATTTCTAGATATTTTGAGATTTATTATCAATATGGTATCTACTATTAAGTAAGTTATTCTAATTAAGTGAATGTACATGTACATGTAAAATTTATTGATACAAATGAATATAATTATAATTACAGGATTTTGTTTTCACCCCCAATGACTTTGTACTATTATTAATTTTATAGTGGGCATCTTCACAAATTATCAGTTCCTATTACAACTGATGTCCAGCAAGTTAAGAATTATAAAAGTTTGTCATTCATGTAACTTCATCTTGTACTCTCCTCCTCCTTTATCATTAGGTCTATTAAAGGACTTGTATCAACATTGTATGATTCCATTGACGTTATTAGTGGAAAATACTAGTTCATCATTTCATAGATCTGAGGATTTAACCTTTTTATTGGTTGAGACCAGCATTGCTATGACAACTTGTGTATGTAAATGGTAAGATAGTATTATGATTCTTGTTATTATTATTGTTACTTTTACATGTACAGTTGCTCCATAATCAGCCCCTGTACTATGGTATAGGGTCTTTGGCCAAATTTAGCCAAAAATGACTAGATGAAGAATCTCCCTTTTTATAATTTTTTTCTAATACATATACATGTTCTTATGTTGTGTAGCAAGTTTAGGCTGGTTCTGATCAAAAGAAAAATTTTTATGAATTTTTAAAGTTGCTCAAAAATTGGATAAAAGTCCCTTTACTATTAGTAACGCGGTAGCGTTACTAAGTAGGATTCACCCCCAAACAAAATGGCTGCCACGACTTTTGCAGCCTTGCTATACTGGGAAAACAAGCTCCTATGCTTACCAGACTTTATAGAGGATCTTATCTTGACCAGAGGACTCCAATGGTACAACTAGCGTGGCTCTAGACCTTGTCTAAGCGAAAAGTCAAAAATCGGCGAACCGGCCGTTTTGTTCAGCCACCTTTTTTCATCTTCATCATCATCATCTTCTTCTTCATCAGGCCACTCCAATTAAATTCATAGTTTCCCGTTGCCCGCCCGCATACTGCCGCGCACCAAATTCATTAAAATCGATTATTTTTCATTATTATCTCTACCTCGTGGCTAGTGGCTGATAAATGGCGGTGTGGATCTGGTTCCTCTGGCTATTAGGTTTTACAAGCGTATTTGCAAGGGATCAGGTGTGCCCAATGATTTCCTTTAGAATCCTCTTTATCTTTTCTTACTTTTAGTGTTACGTCTGGACCTGGTACAATCCATATAGTGGTCTGACCTACTCATTTGCCTCCTCATTCGTATTTGTATAATTCACCTACTCATTCTCCTACTCTTTCATATTCGTATAATTCACCTATTCATTTGCCTCCTCATTTGTATTCGTATAATTTGCCTTCTCATTCATATTTGTATAATTCACCTACTCATTCGCCTTCTCATTCGTATTTGTATAATTCACCTACTCATTCGCCTTCTCATTCGTATTCGTATAATTCACCTACTCATTCGCCTTCTCATTCGTATTTGTATAATTCACCTACTCATTTGCCTTCTCATTCGTATTCGTATAATTCACCTACTC